TTAAGTTTCAATACAAGTATGTGTTTTTCAGATTAGTTTGAATGTTTATTCGTAGTTGTTATTCTCTTAGCAATGGCCATATATTCCAGACTTATTTCGTAAATGTTTATCAAGTGTTAAGCAGCAATGTACACATGAAAGGGCGGATGTATATCAACCATACTCGTTCGGGGTATTTTCAGGTTTAGAGAACGGTCCTAGCCGATGCGCGTCGGTACCTGAGAGAGTTATTTCGATCCTATACAATGTTTTCGTTGAGTGCTTGGAGTACTAAATTCGCCATTATGGTTTTCGGTCTTCGATGAAGCGTGCAATTCATTGCTTGTCATTCTTCATGATATTAAGTACACGTTTTCGTGAAATATTCGTTTTACATATATCATAGATCATTGAGATCCAAAGGGAATCATTTTGGACCAGGAAACAGGCGATTTCTATCGAAGAACGGCGAAGAAGGAAGAACTAGCATATTTTAATGACAAACTCTGGTAAAGATCCGCCGTGACACCTGGACAAAAAGTCTTTTTTGTCTCTCGACTCTAATTTACTGGTCTTGCTGGTGGAACTATGCTGAAGTCTTGGTTACAATCCTCGCTAGCTAAAGATCGTTATAGTCTAGAGGAACGACTAAATATAGAGCTCAGTTGACTCGTGTTTAGCGATAGCTAACTATATATAGTGTAGAGGAGTGGTAATGTCAAAATATCGCCACCATATTTGTTGTATATTAGGCGTGATGCCACCTTTTGTACTCAAATGTACGCTTGTAATATCACAAGAGAAAAGACATTCTTTTCAAAACCGATGAAAACATTTTAACTCGTGATGTGTTTATTTGATTGGTGCAATGTATGTGATATATTCATTGCTAGTGCAAAGCGTGGAAAAATAATCTTGGGATAGCTGTGGCATTTTCCTCGTTAGCACATTTGGTCGATTTAGCAAGAACTACTGAGAACAACTCAAGAAGCTACTCTTTTAAAAGAAGTTCGTAGTTGAAGTTCTTTTTTCTTTCATTTAAAAAGGTAAGAGCAAATGAAATCAGTTTTTTCGCCTTCCCTATGGCTACTTTAAGAAATCTAAGTAAATTACTGGAAGCATCTTCGAAAAACTTTTTTGTGTGAAAATTTTCAATGAAGACTTTAGTTTGTCAACGAATGAAATTCAGCGATATATTTCTTGCACATTCCTTCATATAAGTTTAGACTATTAATGTAATGCGCCTTGTTAAGTTTATCTTAAGTTAAGCTTATATCTTTTTTTACAAAACCAACATGATTCAAGACAAAATAAGCTTTAAGGCTTTCTTGAGACTCGTCCGATCTCACGTTTCTGCACAATTTAGCTGTCAGACTTATGATTCATCGTGTAGAAAGTCTTTGACTTGGTAAGTAAATTAAAGAGAAAAACAAGCAAACAATCATTTGAAAATGYATAAGATAGCTCGTTCGATTCTCGTCATTTTCTGAAAAATTAAGAAACTGGTCAACAAAGGGTCCAATCCGAGTACAAATTGGAGTCGTTTGCATTTTACCGTGCAATGTAAATCTCTATTTGGTTAGTAAGTCTTAAGTTTGTTGGTAGAGAACAAAAGAAAACAATGGATTCAGATTGTGATAATAACTGGTAATCTTTGCTATAGTCAAATGAAAATGATAGTCTAGCATTCTGATAAGCTTAACTTAAAAAATCTTTGCATCAAAGCTTCACTAGAAAACTTTTTTTTCATCGGTGGGTCACTGCTAACCTGACAAGGACACATTTCACAGCATTTGAAATCCTTCCAAAAGCCACTCGTGATATTAAACTGCTTTTTTTTATTTGTAGCTCATTCCTGTGCGAGTCAGAAGTGAAGAGACAAAGGAACCAAGTTTGCGTTCATGGAATGGACATTGAAGAAACGTCGCGTCACATTTATGTTTTTACTGATTTCGTTGTTTTTCTATTTCTTCTATCACGTCAACTCCCGGTCCGTACTTCGTGTTTCTTTAAAACGGTAAGTTCATATAAAAACTTCACTCATAAGTTTTCCGGTTTTATCTAAGAAGACGCTCTTCATACTCGAGTACTCGTGACTTGTAGGACATGCGACTTGCTCATTGCTTTAGATTCGCAGTTTTTGTTCAGGGTCATAGCCGAATATCGACTGTCATTGTCCAGTCTCTTTTTATACATAATTTGTCGACTATTTTCTAAAAACACTTATCCTTTTTCTAAAGCAAGCAATCTATAAATCAATACTTCTGAGATTATTGGCAGCAACCCATGTCCTTTACAACTTCAAGTTCCTCCATTGAATCCATGTATTGGAATCCCTGTGTAAAGCTGGATTGTTACATAGTCCCATGGCATGCCCTGTATAAGTAATTCTTTATGTTCTCTTTCGCAATCTTTGCTTATTTAAATGGCTTTCCCCTTTTTCGCCCCTCGACGTGGTACTGGGCTTGGACAGCAAGCTACACAGGGGCGGATCCTCCCCGCACAAGATCT